TGGGTCAGGACCACCTCGCTGTTGGTGACCTTCCTTCCTTGCTGATGTCTGGATGAGATCTGACCCCAGCCCTGCCTTAAGCACCAAACCACCTTGAAACACGGCCTCACTGAAATGCCAGGGAGAAAGAACAGTTCTTGTCTCTGACAGGCTCGGATGTGAGTCCTGGCTCCCTGCCACCAGCCTGTCTTTACCTTCTGTAAAATGGGATTGTAATAGTATCTGCCTGTCAGAGTTGTTGAAAGGATTGATGACATAATGCTGATAAAGTGCTCCAGGGACTGCCCGTCCAAGTCAGCAAAGGTGGGAGGGCATGTTTAAGGACAACCATTTCAGGTGAGTATCAGGAAGCTGGCTGGGAAAACTAGGTGGGGAGCAAGAGAAACAGTTCACTGCATTTCAAAAGAAAAACAATAAAAGACAAAAACGAAGGAAAGCAATTAGTCACAATAGCACCGTCATCATAGTATTATTTAGCTCCATCTTATCGTTATGGATTTCTCAGTTGGCACCATCTCAGCCTCCCTTGTGTGTTTAAGATTAAGCGAAGGCAGTGCCAGGAATAAAGCTGGTTTGACTGGATAGGTCGCTGATGTGTTTTCTGGGCTTAAGGGAACAAAACAAAATTTCCTAGCCTTTCAGGATTGTAGTATATGGCCAAGAGCTGTCTTTTTTGTTTGTTTGTTTGTTTGTTTTTGTTAATCCTCACCAGAAGATATTTTTCCATTGATCTTTTTGAGCAGTGGTTCTCAACCTTCCTAATGCCGCGACCCTTTAATACAGTTCCTCATGTTGTGGTGACCCCCAACCATAAAATTATTTTCGTTGCTACTTCATCACTGTAATTTTGCTACTGTTATGAATCGTCATGTAAATATCTGATATGCAGGATGTATTTTCATTGTTACAAATTGAACATAATTAAAGCATAGTGATTAATCACAAAAACAATATGAAATTGTATATGTGTTTTCCGATGGTCTTAGGCGACCCCTGTGAAAGGGTCGTTCGACCCCCAAAGGCAGCGGTTCTCACCCTGTGGGTCGCGACCCCTTTGGGGTCAATTTGTAACAATGAAAATACATCCTGTGCCCTAACTGGTTTGGCTCAGTGGATAGAGCATCAGCCTGGGGACTGAAAGGTCCCAGGTTCGATTCCGGTCAATGGCATGTACCTTGGTTTCGGGCACATCCTCAGTAGGAGGTGTGAAGGAGGCAGCTGATCGATGTTTCTCTCTCATTGATGTTTCTAACTCTCTATCCCTCTCCCTTACTCTCTGTAAAAAAAAAAAAAAATCAATAAAAAATATTTTTTTTAAAAAAGAAAGAAAATACATCCTGCATATCAGATATTTACATGACGATTCATAACAGTAGCAAAATTACAGTGATGAAGTAGCAACGAAAATAATTTTATGGTTGGGGGTCACCACAACATGAGGAACTGTATTAAAGGGTCGCAGCATTAGGAAGGTTGAGCACCACTGCCCAAAGGGGTTGAGAACCGCTGTTTTAGAGAGGCGGAAAGACAGAGACACATCCTAAAGAATGATGTGAGGCTCCTTCCCCAGGAAAAAAGGAGAAAGAGGTACTAATTGTCAAACTAATAGATGCTCCCTATAATCCATCCTTTGATGACCAGTATATACACCTGCCTTCTTCTTCAAAGTAGAATCCCAAACCTGCCTCCACCCAACACTGCACAGCCATTCCCTATACCAGTGGTCGGCAAACCGAGGCTCGCGAGCCACATGCAGCTCTTTGGCCCCTTGAGTGTGGCTCTTCCACAAAATACCATGTGCAGGTGCACGTACAGTGCGATTAAAACTTCGTTGGTCATGCGCAGAAGTTGGTTTTCGGCCTGGGCGAGTCTATTTTGAAGAAGTGGCGTTAGAAGTGGGGGTACGTTTGTTGAGGTCGACCCCTCAGATTGAGGACGTTTTTAGCAAAGGCCAGCTTAGGAGTACCCTACTTAAGTTAATAACAATGTACCTACCTATATAGTTTAAGTTTAAAAAATTTGGCTCTCAAAAGAAATTTCAATCGTTGTACTGTTGATATTTGGCTCTGTTGACTACACAACTGTTAGTGCACACACTCCCCCTGGGGGCAGGCTGCCTAGTGACAGCCATTCCCTTCCAGCCCCTGATCCTGAGAATCATGATAATGGTTAATGAGTTACATGATTAATTTAACTCCTCCTAACTTGTCAAGTAAATAATGAAAATTATAGGAGGAAAAATCTGCAGAGATAATGACCAAACAATTTTCAAATTTGATGAATACAGGAAGAGAAAAATGTTGCCTAATCACAATGAAGACTCAGACTTAAAAAAGGGGAGTGTGAGCTCAGGCAGTGTGGCCCGTACTTGAGCATCGACCTATGAACCAGGAGGTCACATTCGATTCCCGATCAGGGCACATGCCCGGGTTGCGGGCTCGATCCCCAGTGTGGGGTGTGCAGGAGGCAGCCAGTCAATGATTCTCTCTCATCATTGATGTTTCTATTCCTCTCTCCCTCACCCTTCCTCTCTGAAATCATTAAAAATATATTTAAATAAATAAATAAGCACAATAAAAACATTTTTTTCAAAGGGAGTATTCTAGAAAAGGAACAGAATGAGTCAATGAAACAAATACAGTGACTAGAACAAGATGGCTGCTTGTTTCTCTCTCATCTAACAGACCAGGCTGGGCTGGAGCCCAGGTCATATGGGCTGTTCTGCTCTGCTCTACAAGGTTGTTCAGGAGATCAGATTCCTTCTGTCTTGTCCTGCCACCCCTAGAGTGGTGTCTTAATCCACATGTTCAGAGCTGGCACATATCGTCACATCCATGTTTCTATCCCTGGGAAAGGGAAGATGAAATGGGCAGCAAGCAATGTTCCCATAAAAACATCATCTAGAAGTCGCACACCCACTCACATCCCATTGGCTAAGACTACTGGACTATATATAGCTCCAAGGAAGCTGGGAAATGTAGTCTCCAGCTGGGTAGCCACTTGCCCAGCTAAACTCCAGTGGATTCTATTGGGAGAGTGAACACTGGGAACAGTCTTTGCCACAGGACCCCCTGTGGCCCCCTGAGAACTTCCTTCTTGACCATTCTCATTTTTGGCTGCACATCTGAAATGAGTGTTAGAAAGAATACCCCCTCCTTGGGGGCACACAGCTTTCAGCTCACTTTTGAGGGTGGAGTTTGGGGGCCAGGGGTTTCTTAGGAACTGAACAATCACAGGCTTTTGGAGACCAGACCTGTGGCTTCCTTCTCTGGCTATCTATGTCTATCAAAATCTTAGAAACCTCCTGGTCTCTTTCCTATCACTTTCTGCATCCTATCACTTTCATACAGTAGTTCCACACCCAACAATCCTTTCTGGGCATAGTTTTTAAGCCTGTCAACTTTTTTTTTTTTTTTACTAGCTGGTTTCCCTGCCTGGCCCACCCCTGCTGCCTCACCTTCCTGGTAGTAACCCCGAGGCACTGGGAACAGATGAGAAGATGATCCCCTTAATCAGAACTTTGCCACATGGCTGATTCCCATTGCCAAGTGGAGAAATCCTAGTGGCAGATTATATGGTCTGCCTTCCAGGTTATCACAGGGTGGGGCTTTTCAAATAATTGGTCACAGAGTAGCAAGTGCAGCTGCTTCCCACCTGGCTGTCTGTAGTTCTTTCACATTGCCTACCTGCTAAGCCAAGGCCCCATATTTAGATGTTAAGCTGCATCTCACGTTCAACATAAATTTCTGCATTGGGTATAGGTTAAGCTGCTGTAACAAAAATCCCAAAGTAAGTGACTCAAACATGACAAATCTCTTTTTCTCTCACATAACAATTCAGAGTAGGCAGTTGGTCCAGAGTCAAGAGGCAACTCACCTCTGCTCCAAAGTCCTTCTGTCTTGTTGCTTTTCCATCCCTATGACAATAAACCACATGGTCAAAGGTGTCCCACCCCTTGCCAGCTTGTGAAGGGGAAAAGGAAGTAAAGGATAAGCTATCTCCTGACAAAAACTGTGATTCAGAAGTTTCATCCCTTTGGGTCACATCCCATGGGCAGAAACTTAGTCACATGGCAATACTATGCTGCAAGGGAGTCTGGGAAATATAGTCTCTAGCTGCCTGGTTATGTGGTCTGGTTACTGAAAGGGGAGTCACTTGTATTACTTAAAGAAAGGAGGAAATGAATACTGGGAAACAACATCTCTGCCTCAAGGAGAAAGGTAAGCTATGAAGAGTGACACACCCCGAAGGGCAGGGAAAGCCCAGACTCTGTGCCTTTTGCTCCTGGTCTCATTTCCTTGAAAATGGGGAGTTTCGTCATCAGCCAACCTGTTTTGTCCATTGTCCCCCTGGGACACGGGGAGGACTCCCTGACTGTGGGCTATGCCACCTTAGCACCCATCACCCACTGGAGAACTGGGGATGACCTTAAGACTTGTGCAATCACAGACACCCTTGGCCTTGACATCTGCTGGGGAGATGACACTGGCTTAACTGCTCTGTTTTGTTTTTGTTTTTAATGTATTTTTATTGATTTTAGACAGGAAGGGAGAGGGAGAAAGATAGAAACATCAATGATGAGAGAGAACCATTGATTGGCTGCCCCCTGCACACCCCGAATTGGGGATCGAGCCTGCAACTGGGCATGTTCCCTTGACTGGAATTGAACCCGGACCCTTCAGTCTGCAGGCCGACGCTCTATCCACTGAGCCAAACCAGTTTCGGCTAACCTGCTCTGTTATCCTGCCCCTGCTCCTTGGCTGTGCTTCCAGATGGGGGCTCTGTAAAGTGATGAGAGTGGGAGGTTCTTGGGAAAGGACGCTGTACCAGTCAGTCACAGAGTCTCCCAGTGGTTTGAGTCAAATTGCCCTCTTCTTCTCCCCACCTTGTTTGGAGTAACCGGTCCCTACCTGCACTGGAAGGGGGCGAGCCTCTTACTTAGCACATGCAATAGAAAGTGACTCTGCCAGAAATATCACTGGGCTCTCCTCTCTCCTCAGGGTGCAACGTAGAAAACGCCTGCTACCCGCTGGGCATCTGTGCTGAACGGACCGCTATCCAGAAGGCCATCTCAGAAGGATACCAAGATTTCAGGGCAATCGCTGTTGCCGCGTGAGTGGGAAATCTGGGTCACAGCCATATTCATTCATCTATTCAGCCAACGTGCACCTGTTATCCATCCATTCATTCATCTGACATATGTTTATTCTATACTCCCTATGTGCCAGGCACTGTAGAGGACTGTGGGCTGAGTGCTGAGGGTAAGGAGGTAAATAAGAAATGGACTCTGACCTTGGTGAGTCTGCAGAGCAGATGTACAACCAAGGCAACTAAGACAAGGGCAGGTGTCTTTATGTTCAAATTTCAGCACAAAGTACAACAGAATCTCTCCAAGATGAATAGAAAAGCAGCACAGAAACCTAAAGCTAGAGGGACCTAAAAATTACCCGGCTGCCTAGACCTGTCACTTACCCCCATTTCACAGCTGAAGAAACTGAGGCCCAGGGAGGGTGAACAACTTTCCTGGGAATTAGTGGCAGAGCCGGGACAAAACCGATCTTTAGAGTCTCGCCCCAGGGCTCATTCCACTGCGTCATGCTGTGCCAGGAGGTCAAACACTGTTCCCTGCTCTCCTTGAGCTGACACTGGGACCTGTCACGGTGCAAGTTGACTCTTGCCCTTGACAACACTCATCTGTCGGTGCCAAAACCAGCTGGTGGGGTGGCAGCAAGGTATAACCGGGTATGGTTCCAAACTAGTCAGATTCCAGCCCAGATTCTGGCTAACAAAAGCACTGATCAACACCCTCCACATGCCCTAGACCAGTGGTTCTCAACCTTCCTAATGCCGCGACCCTTTAATACAGTTCCTCATGTTGTGGAGACCCCAATTTCATTGTTACAAATTGAACATAATTAAAGCATAGTGATTAACCACAAAAACAATATGTAATTATATATGTGTTTTCCGATGGTCTTAGGCTACCCCTGTGAAAGGGTCGTTCGACCCCCAAAGGGGTCTCGACCCACAGGTTGAGAACCGCTTCCCTAGACATAAATTTCCAGCTCCCACACACATACCCTCAAGAGCAGCTCATTCAGTTCTTCTCAGCCCTGGACCCAGACTCAGTGGCTTTGGAACTTGAGCATATGAGTGGGCTCTTTTACGAATGTGGACGCCATCTTGCTTCTGATTTAATGGAAAATTGCTCATGTGCCCGGAAAATGGCATGGGAGACTGCATGGCTGAACGAGTGCTGATCTTTCGGGACATCTGGCTGCGTGGGTCATGCACAGGAGTGAATTATCTCTCCATCGTGGTGAAGCTGCCAGACCTTTCTGGCCGAAATGTAAGGACCTACCTAGAGCAAGGACCATGGGGGATGCATAATAGAAACAAGCCTCCATTTATTTTATTTGTTTGTTTAACTTTTATTATTTTTTGTTGTTAATCCTTACCTGAGAATATTTTTCCATTTGTTTTTAGGGAGAGTGGAAGAGAGAGGGAAAGACAGAGAGAAACATCAATGTGAGAGGAACACATTGATTGGTTGCCTTCTGCACGAGCCCTGACCAGGGCCCAGGCCAGGAAGGAGCCTACAACCGCGGTACGTGCCCTTGACCGGAATCGAACCCGGGACCCTTTGGTCCAAAGGCCGACATCTATCCACTGAGCCAAAACGTCTAGGGCTATTTTATTTTATTTTTAGAAAAGCAAGAATTTATTGACCATAGCAAAACTATCACGGGGCCCTGAGAGGTTAGGGATATGTTCCCTGGGACTGAGCTGGTAATGCCCATTGCTCCCCTGGTTGCAAATCTCCTTAGGTCCCTTTGAAGTTAGGGTACACGAGCCTATGGGGGACGGAGAGGGGCAAGGGAATGCCATGGGCTTGCTCCCTGGAGAGAAGGCGCCCCCATTTCTTTTATAAAATTCTAAACTTGGCCTCTGTCTGGCCCCGCAGTGGACCAGTTATTAAAGGTTTTTTCCCTGAGTAACTTATGGAGAAGGACCCACTTCCAGAGCCCTCCTCGAGCCCGAGGCCTCTGCTGGCTCCCCTTGGCTTTGGGAGCAATACATGAGGCTGTGCTGGGAACATTTTGTGTGGATAAGCAGAGATCAGGATGTGCATTACACTTTATAAAAATAAATAAAGAGGGACGGAAAATCACTCCATTTCAAAGCTGATCCAAGAAAATAATGATATTCCGGGGAAAAGAGGCCAAAGTCAACAAAAGGTTAATGGCACGGTAGCCTTGCTCTGTTTAGACTGTTCCCAGCGAAAGGCTTTTTCTCTTGGTCATTACTTCTAAACTTGACTGGGTATTGCTAGAGACGATTAGTAAATATCCTTATTTACATAAAACCTGCATTTTCCTGGTACCCAACTGCTCCGCTCCGGGGATTCAGGCTACAGAGCATCCCCGAGCCAGAAATAGTCATTATTGCATGAATGATTTGTTACATTGAGAGCATGGACTTAGGGGATGAATGGAAGCTCCCCTGTTAGCATTGACGACCCCTGTGAGGTCTGTAAAGTAGAGAGAGCGGAGCCCAGAATGGAATTTTGCTAATGAGGAGGTAAGCCTGTCCCACTGGGGTCCCGGCTGCAGTCATCAAAGTCAGTAAGTTTCCAGCCTTTCGAGTCTGATAAGCCTGGCCTCCGTGTGTGACCAAGGTCAGCACAAACCACAGGAAACCCTCGATACCGGCACAGGCAGGAGAGGGAGAGAGTTTGGGAAAGCATGGAGGGAATGTTCCGAGACACCCAGCTCGTTCTGAGATCCCTTCCAAGCTTTCAGTTCTTACTCTTGGCAGGAATGTTGGGTAATGGTTAAAAACCCAGGCTTGGGGTCTTAGCTGGTTCGGCTCAGTGGATAGAGCGTCGGCCTGCAGACTGAAGAGTCCTGGGTTCAATTCCGATCAACGGCACATACCAAGGTTGCAGGTTCCTCCCCGGCCCAGGCCCTGGTCGGGGCATGTGCTGGAGGCAACCAACATCGATATTTTCTCTCTCATCGATATTTCTCTCTGTTTTTCCTTCTCTCTTCCACAACCTGAGCCTGGCTTTTCCGCTATAAAGTGGAGAACACCTACCCATTGGGCTGTTGTGAGGACTCAGGAAAGGACTTCAGTAAAGTTCCTGGCACAGAGTGGGCAATAAATTAAAACTTTTGTTTTAACGTTATCATTATTTCTTCTACAAGGTACAAAACTACCAAAGGCAGGGACCACAGATCCCGGTTCAAATCCTGGTTCTGCTACTTACCAGCTCTGTGACCTTGGGCAGGTCACATCACCTTTCATGATCTGGAGCATGTGGATAATAAAAGTGTCTACGTGGCCCCTCTATTATAAGGTCGATAGGGGGTTAAATGAGTGACTGGCACAGAGAACGGCAATGTTAAGCGTAAGCCAGTATTACGATCAGGCTGCCTCCCAGTCCTCAGAGGTATGCTGCCTGGATGCACCATCTTGTGATTTTTGAACCCTAGGCCCAACCCAACCTCCCAGTGGAATTCATGTGTATCCCACCCCCCTTGAAGAACCTAATGCAGGTCACCTTGTCCAACCAGCTGGCCATTGGACAGTTGGCTATGCATGTCCCAAGACTGCAGAAAGGAAGCGGTGAGCTTAGCAGGGGCAGGTCCTACAGGGCCTTACAGGCCATGGAAGAGATTTCACTCAGAGCACCTGTCCCAGAGTCCCAACCAGTCTGTCCATGTTGTGGGATTTCCATGTGCAGATTTTATCTCCCTTTCCAGCTGGTAAGATCCCTGAAGACAAGGCGTCAAATGGTAATTTTCAGACAAAGCATTATCCCCATTTTCTCGAGCTGTCGAGCCTTCCCACACTAGAGACGGAGGATCCGGGGCCGTAGGTGTGACAGACTTTTGATCCTCAATACGAAGTGGGCATAATGCAGTTCGAACAAGAGCCCACATAGTTAAAGATGACGAGGGCACTCATTTTCCTTGAGCCTGATTTAGGAGAGTATCTTTTGACACCTTAATTCCTTTATCCTTGAGCATGTAAGCTAAAAATTTACAATGATGTTTTGCCTTTTACTCGAATTCTTCTCCATTATAACCTGGCTGAATCAAACGTTCCTCGTCCACTTAGGGTCGCAACTCCAAAGCTGGCACGGGCTTTGTGTGTGCTGAACTTCCCACCTTTACAGTGAATTTCCACTTGCCCTTTTTCACTTTGTTTTTCGCTCAGGGGAATCTTCTCCTCCAGATTCCTATTCAGGCACCAGAATGCCGCAACCTGCACGGCTAGGGTTCAGGATCTGAAGGAGGGGCCGACGCACAAATGAAAATGCTATACAAGAAATATGAATTTAGAAGGCATTGGGGGTCAGGGTGTCTCTTTTGTGAAAAGCACATGGAAACTGGGTCCCGTCTGCTTTCATTCACTTGAATACACATTTGCCCTTTAGCAATGCATACAGGCATATCAATCAAAGGTAAAGTTTGGTAAACAGTAAAAGGACCATCAGGTTAGGGAATTGCCTTGAGCCACCACTATCTCAACACAGCCCTGCTAACGCCCAAGGTCCATTGGCCTTCCACGTTCCTTGGTGCACTCTTATGACAGTATTGGGAAAGCCGTGGCTTCCCGCATCTGTCTCCTACTGGACTGAGCAATCTCTTAAAGGCCAGAGACAAATTTTCCTTAACTTTTGTGTCCTAGGGTGTGGGTGACAGTAAGTGCTCACTAAATTTTTAATAAATGCACTAGTGAAAAGAGTAGTCCTGCCCATGGCCTCGCCTTTGCAACTTGGGAGGCCTCCCAGCCCTGCATCTCAGCCTCTAGGACACAGCACCTCTGTGAGACAGAGTCTGACTTACCCTGAAGGGGGCCTGAATCTCGGCCATTGTCCTCACGTCTCAGGAAAAACTGACCCATGTGTGATTCTCTGCTTCCCCAGTGACGTGCAAGATGATTTCATCTCACCATGCGGGGCCTGCAGGCAAGTCATGAGAGAGGTAAGCAGCTCTTTCTTTCTGGAATGTAAACCGGATGCCTCCCCGCTTTCCCCAGGCTGTGGGAGGGAAGCCAAGCTGCCGGAAGACAACTACTGTCCTGTTTGCTTGGCTGGCTGATTTCAAAGGCCTTCCTGAGCCCGCGTGAATCCCTGGGTGTAATTCTTTCATTCAACAAATACTCCCTGAGTGGGTGTCTTCCCCTCGGGAATAGATAGGCCAGGTCCTGCCCTCACAGAGTTGATAGTGCAGGAGACAAACAATAAACAAGGAGCAAAATAAACAAATGGTAGAGTTTCTGAGAGTGAGGACATGGCTATGGAGGAAAAAATGCAGAAAAGTGGTCATGAGGGACAGAAGGGGCAGCAGGTAATACTCTAGATCAGAGCCAGAGGTCAGCAAACAATAGCCCATGGGCAAATCCAGCCTATAGCTATTTATTCTAAATAAAGTTTTATTGGCACACAGCCACACCCATCTATTCACATATGGTCCACGGCTGCTTTGACCTGACCACAGCAGAGATGAGCCATTACAACACAGACCTTATGACCCGAAAGGCCCAAGATATTTACAACTGGCCATTTATGGAAAAAAGTTTGCCAACCCCTGCTCTAGATGCCCAGGAAGGGCCTCTCTTTGAAGATGACATTTGAGCAGGGTACAAACAATGAGAAAAGACGGAGCAAACAGAGGTCTAGAGAAGATTTCCAGCAGAGCAAGCTTAATGCCCATCACTTGGTGAATTTGACAAGTCATGAGAAGGTCAAGGAAACTAGGACACAATGAATGAGGGGCGTAGGACATGAAGTCAGAGATGGGCAGGGCCAGATCACACATGGTCTTGTAGGCCATGGGATGGAGGATATATTTTATTCCAAGAATAAAGGGAACTGAATTGTACACTTAAAAATGGTTAAAGTGCCCTGGCCGGTTTGGCTCAGTGGATAGAGCATTGGTCTGCGGACTGAGGGGTCCCGGGTTCAGTTCTGGCCAAGGGCACATTCCCAGGTTGCGGCTCGGTCCCCACTAGGGGACATGTGGGAGACGGCCGATCAATGATTCTCTCTCTTCATTGATGTTTCTATCTCTCCCTCTCCCTTCCTCTCTGAAATCAATAAAGAAATATATTTTAAAAATAAATAAATAAATAATAAAAATGGTTAAAGCGATATATCTCATAGTGTATACACTGAGTGGCCAGATTATTATGACCGGCCAAATTATTATGACCACCCCATCAGTACTTCATTGACACTTCCAAAAATACTAAATATTGAAAACTTCCTAAGCAAATACTCTCAAGGTTTTATTATTATTATTATGCATAACTAATTCACTTCATTGTACTGATGGGGTAGTCATAATAATCTGGCCGGTCATAATAATCTGGCCACTCAGTGTATATACTAGTGGCCAGGTGCACGGATTTGCATTAAAAGGAAATTAGAAGAAAGATTTGTGCGGTAATTACTGCAAAAAATTACATGTCAAAATAGTATATATAATATAGTATTATCAAATTAAAACACGTGTGTGATTGGCACCAGTAAGAGCTTTATATGTATCATGCATGCATGGTCAACATTTATTTTTAAATTGCTAGTATGCATCATATGTACCGGCCGGTTGGTCGGTCGGATGGTCGATGAATAAATCACGATGTGGTTCATGTTGAATGTCAACAAAAACAACCATATTCATGATCAACAATGACAGATTGAAACACACGCGTGCAATTGGCGCCAGCGAGAACTTTACATGTATCATGCATGCGTGAGTCAACGTTTATTTTTATTATTATTATTTTTTATTAATATATTTTATTGACTTTTCACAGAGAGGAAGGGAGAGAGATAGAGAGTCAGAAACATCGATGAGAGAGAAACATTGATCAGCTGCCTCCTGCACATCTCCCACTGGGGATGTGCCCGCAACCCAGGTACATGCCCTTGACCGGAATCGAACCTGGGACCTTTCAGTCCGCAGGCCGACGCTCTATCCACTGAGCCAAACTGGTTTCGGCACAACGTTTATTTTTAAATTGCCAGTGCTCATCATATGTACCAGCCAGTCAGACCGTTGGATGGACACACGGTCGGTCACTTAGCCTTTTCTTAGGTATATACTAGAGGCCCGGTGCACAGGATTCGTGCACTGGTTGGGGGTGTGGCCGCGGGGATTGGCCCACTGTGCGAGCACTGCTCATCCTGGTCAGCTGAGCGGCTGTGGACCCGCCCTCTGATGCTGCTCCTGCTGTGGGAGTGCACTTACCACCAGGGGGCAGCTCCTGCATTAAGAGTCTGCCCCCTGGTGGTCAGTGCACATCATAGCAACTGGTCGAGCCATTCTGGTCGTTCCACCTCTCGGTCACTGGGCTTTTATTATATAGGATTAGGACATTAAAATCAAAGTTGGTAAAAAGAAAATAATAATAAAGAAGGGACTTAAGGAAACCGATGTAGTTTTTATAAAGATCATCTTGAACGAAGGCTTGGATTTCTTCAACACTAAAAACAAAGGGCTGCATTCTTTCTTTTTTAAAATATATTTTTATTGATTTCAGAGAGTAAGGGGGAGGGAGAGGGAGAGAGAGATAGAAACATCAATGAGAGAGAATCATTGATTGGCTGCCTCCTGCATGCCCCCTAATGGGGATTGAGCCCACAACCCGGGCTTGTGCCCTTGACCAGCATGGAACCCGGGACCCTTCAGTCTGCAGGCCAATGCTCTATCCACTGAGCCAAACCAGCCAGGGCAAAGGGCTGGATTCTTACTCCAGGCTCAGTGGTAGTTTCTGACATGTACGTGTGCATTTGAGGAAAGGGGTGTCAGGATCTTCCGTGGACGCTGAGAAAGGTCTGTGTCCTTTAGAATCCCAAAAGGTTAAAGCCACCAGCTTCAGGAATCCCGAAGACCCCTGCGCCCTGATGTGATATCGTCAGCCCCACTAAACGCAGCTTCTCGGTTAATCCCTGTCCCCAGCCGAGGCGGGAGGAGTGGGTCCTTATCCCCATTTCTCAGAGAAGTGAAATGACCTGGGAAGGACAGTGCGGGTGTGGGGAGCCGGACCACAGCAGAGATGAGCCATCATCAGGAGCAGACCGACTGGGAAGCCTGCTCCTTGCGCTGACTCCTCCCCTTATGGTTTGGTGAACAGGACAAGTCCACCCCAGCCCTGGAGGGGACACGGTGGTGCTTTGCAGAACAGGAGCTGCTCCTCCACCAGGCTTCTGCTGTTGAGACTGTTTATATTTGGGGGCAGATGGGTTGTTTCAGTTTTGCCTTTGTGCCTTGGGGTCTCAAGGCATCTGTCAAATATGCAAGCTCCATGTTTTTGCCAGGACTGCAAAACAGACACAGTTCGCAGAACACATTTCCCAAGTCCAGGTGCAGAATGCCACCATGAAGGCACTGACTTCACGACGTGGACTTCATCGCACTTTGGAGGGGCAGAAATGGCTGCCCAACTCCCCGGCAAGTCCAAGGCCTCATAAGGAAACCACATCAGGATGGCAGCTCCCTGGCTCCCGAGGCCTGAGTCGGTCCAATTGCTTGTTGGCAAACGAGAGAAAGCAAATGAAAAGGCCTAAGGGGAGACGGGCAACACTGAAAACAAAATGCTCATAGTAAGAGATGAAGCTTGGGGACGAGGGACCAGGCACTTAAACTCACTCAACTTTCATCCTTAAAACTCACTTTCACCCATACCTGCGGGCACAGCCGGCCGAGCACATTAATTTTAAAAAGCCACAAGGCTGACTGTGCCTGGTAATAAGTGGGAGATTCAGGCAGAAGCGTGGAAACAGCAGGCTGCAAACCTGAGCGCTCATGAGCAAACGCTAGCAATCCACAGGAACGGCTTCCAGTAACTGAGCATTCACTGTGTGCCAGGCACTGCATGCAGGCGCTTTACAAAACCCGCCACCTGTGGTTATCACAACACCTGGCCAGGTAGGCCTCGGTCTGTTGATTCCCGCCTCAGGTCTCTTTCCTTTATGTCACAGCCGATTTAACGCTCCGTCTTCCTGCCTCCTGCGTTCTGTCTCTGAAACCATTTCACAGAACAAGACACGAGGCCCAAAGAGCTCAGTCCTGTGCCCAAGGTCACAAGCAAGGGTCGCTCCTGATAGCGGAAAGGAAACACGTAGAAACAGATTTGGGCTAAAATTCTGCTTTGCTGACATTACCCTGCTAAGCCTCAGTTTTCGTATCAGTAAAATGGGGGTAATAATAGCACCTACCTCCAAGGGTAAAGGATGAAATCACGCAGGTGCAATATCCGGGGTGCACCTTCTGGTTGTGAGGAGTGAACGAGATGCTGGGAGGAAGGGAAGCAGGTATTGGCTGCTCTTTGTCCTGGCAGGAGGAGGCCACCCGGTGGTTCGACACTGTTCTCATAACGCCCTGGGTGAGTCCATAATTACATTTATTGCCCATTAGCAATGTGCAAAGCACCGTACTAACCGCTTAACATGTCATCTCTCATTGGCTCTTCCCTCAAGCTCAGTGAATCAGGTGTAACTGTCATTCCCATTTTATAGATGAGAAAACTGAGGCACAGAGAGGAACATTCGATAGGAAGAGGTAGAGCCAGACTCAAACCCAGGTCTGCCCTAACCCCTCGGCCATACTGCCTCCCTCACACTAGCTTTGCCTCTTTTCCAGTTTGGCTCCAACTGGGATGTCTACTTGACCAAGCCGGATGGTACCTATGTTCTCAGGACAGTCCAGGAGCTGCTGCCCGCCTCCTTCGGGCCCGAGGACCTGCAGAAGGTCCAGTGAAAGATGGAGAATGCCCACCGCCTGGGAGAGCCTGGGTTCCCACAGGTGCTTAAGGAGCCAGCTGTCCGGAGAGCTTCACGAAGACCTCACAGACCTGGGACACCTGCCGAGTGGGCCCCAAGCCCACAGGGGCTGGGCAGAGATGACTTTTGCAAATGGTCCTCAAGCACTTGGGTCTTCTACTGAAGTGATAGAGGGGTCTCACTCCAGCCTGGGTCATGGCCCCTCCCTGTCACCCCAGACCACCCCACCTGCCACCCGAGACCAGAGAAACCCATTCCTTCCTCTCCTTCCTGCGGGACCTCTTTAAAATCCAGGCCAAGTGTGGACTGCTGCCCCATTCGCCTTCCCAAGGTTCTATCCTGTTCGGAGCGACTTTTCTAATTATAAACATCACAGCGCCGCCTGGCTCAGGAGAGAACATGTGCTGTCTCCATCACTGCTCGCAGCTCCTAGGAGGGCCGGGGTGATTTGTCTCTCTCTGTGCAAACACCTGGCCGCTTTCTGCGGGGGGAGGAAATGGGCCCTTGGCACTGTGTGCCCCTCGGTGTGGAGAGATGCAGTTCTTAGGCTTCTTGGCCCTGTGTCTCCAGAAGGGAGCCCCCCGCCCCCCCCACCCAGCTGGGTCTAACTCTCCCTAGTGGCCATTTCCGGTGTCTATTTTGGGTTCCTTCTTCTTACAAATGAGGGGCTGGGCTTCAGTGAGGTTAAGCAACTTGCTCTAGGACTATGGCAAAGTTCAAACCGGAATCGGGGTCCTCAAACTCCCACGATGGTCTCTAGAAATAGTGCATGCTCTTTGCGGGGCACTGTGCTAAGGCGATCAACATATATGAACCCATTTAGTCCTCTCTTACCAAGCTCAGAGCAGGCTGCCCTCCTTTTACCAATGAACAAAATCCGAGCTCAGACAGGTTAAGTCACTTGCCCAAAGTTGCACAGCTAATAGGTAGCAGGCTGGAATTTGAACCAGGTCTGCCTGATTCCAAGTGTTTTTCCATTCTCCAACTGCTGATGTCTGGCTGCCTTTATTTATCTGAGTATCATTTAGATGGCAGATATTGCAGAGAGAAGGATGTATAAGAAAGTCTCTGACCTTGAGGAACTTGCACTCCGACAGGGCGAGAGAGGTGGAAACAGGTCTATTGCACAGATATACTGTGATTCAGGCAGGTCCCAAGTGCAAGGTGGCTACAGTGGGGGCTATGCCGTGTGAGGAGGGTCTGTTCCATTGGCGCATTGGCTGCAACACACACTCACACACACACACTCACACTCACACACACACACATACACACACACACACACAATTAGGCAGGTGAGGACTGAATAAGGGACAGAGCCAGGCTGACCTGCTAAGGGTGACAGCTCTGATCCCTGCAGGAGTTGCCTGAGTACCTGGGTGAGAGGAGAGCACAGGCTTCCCCTTTCTAGGCAAGCACGTTGCTGGGAGCACAGGAAGTGTTGCCCTTCCCTGGGGGTCCCTCCACTCTGATCCAGATCCGGAGCAGCTACAGGTGTGTCTGGGAGGACTGGCTTCTCCACGACACACCCGACCCACCTGCTGTCATCTGGCAGGTGCGGCACTGCCGGGGTCTTCTGCACACCCTTCTGGGTGGTCTCAATATGGGGATGGGGGAGGGGAGGGGGAGAAAACAAGAGAATGCTGGAATTAAAGAGACCACGATGCTAATATCAGTCAAATTCTGCTCAGTGGAATCTAGATGGGTGATTTTTTCCTTTGTTCATATCTGTATTTTTTAAACTTCCAAAACTTTTTAATATTTCATAAGAACCAAATGGTATTGCATAATGGTTAAATATTTGGAGTTGGACAGCCTCCAAACTGTGTGGCTTTGCACAAGTGATTTCATTACTCTGACACTATCATCATCTAAAAAAGAGTTGCTGTGCGGATTGAACGGGATAATGCACATTAAGAAGAGCCCAGTGTTGGACCCTCCATAAGCTCTTGATACCGGGCAGCTGTGAAAGGTGACACATTTTGGTCCTTTGAACATGGATTTGATTTTTGCAAACAGGCAGCAGTCTTTTATAGCCAATGTATTCATTCATTTGCAGATGATTTATTAAGTGCCTACTGCTCTGGGGCTGGGGCCAAACGGTGGGGAGGTAGCAACGATGAGACAGATGAAACCCCTGCCCTTCACGGCTCTGGCTGTAGCTGTGGGAACTGAGAGCTAATGGTTCTAGAACTTCACGTCACCCAAGGGGAAGAACGGGCTCTGGGAGCACCCGCAGGAGGAGAGGAGCTTGCCTGCGGAGGGGCAGGGCAGTCCTGGGGAGGGGAGGTTCCAGCCAGGGCATCAGCAGGGTCCCCCATTAGGAAACAGGGTTTGGGGAGGGGCAGAGAATGAGGACTGCCTAACGGACGAAGCCCAGCGTTCTTATATACTTCTTGGAAACAGACAGCCAAAGCAATTCGCAAGAGAGGATTCCAGAAACAGTTTGAATAATGTCCACTTGGAAGAACACCACTCCTTTGGCTGGAGAGAGGCTGGGATGCTTATTGAAAATATATGCACAAGGCCTGGGGTGGGGCAGGGCTGGGAGGAGGGAGGCTAAAGGGGGCGGGGGATTGGGAGCATCTGTAATACTATCAATACAATGAATTTTAAAAATTATAGATATATATAATTTTTAAAATTCATTTTCATTTTGTGGTCCCCGTGTTCTGAGGACCTAAGATTTCAGAGCAGCACACCCTCTATTGTTCAGAGCCTTCTGTGGGGTTTAGGACCTACCGCCGAGTCCCAGATTCCCATGGGAAGAAATAGAGGCACGCATATTTCTGCTGCTCTTGCCAGCTGCTGCTAATTGCTTATGTAAACGACAAGATTCTTTAGGATTTCCCATTGGCAGGGAAGAGGGCACAGCTCTGATGGACACTAGGAACTTTGGGTGTCTGTGTCAGATATGAAGCCAGAAAACACTGTTCAAGAATAAGGGATGGGCCAGTAGGTCTCCCACACACATAATATTGTGTACATGATTATATGGGCACAGAAACAGGCATGGAAGAAACACCTAGTCTGTTCATTTTTGAGGGGTATGGAAAGGGGAAGTTAAGGTGTGGGGGGGATCAAAAACTCTATGACTGAACAGAAAAAAAATATGGCATAATGATACATTAGTTATCTATTGCTGTATAACAAATTATGCCAAAAGTTAGCGGCTTGGGACGACAGAAATTTATTATCTCACAGTTTCTGCAGGTCAGGGATCTGGGCAGAGCTGGGTCATCTGGTGGCTGCTGTCTCATCCGAGGGCTAGACTGGGGAAGGATGTACTTCAAAGCTCACTCTCATGGTTGTTGGCGGGATTTAGTTCCTGTGGGCTGTGGCTGTGACTATTCACTTCCTTGCTACGTGGGCCTCTCCACAGGGCACTTTACCACACAGCAGCTGGCCTTCTTATGAAGAAGTGAGCAGGAGAGTGAGAAAGGGTGAGCAAGACAGAAGCCAGAGTCTTTTTGCAACCTAACCATGAAGGTGACAGCCCAGAAGCAAGTCCTTAAGGTCCAGTTCACAGCCAAGGGGAGTGGATTGCACAAAGGCATGAATACCAGGGGCTGGACTCTCTAGAAATGTAAAAGTCGAAAATGCACATGGGCAAGGAACAGCAAAGAAAACAGAAGAGGAGGTAAGGGTGGGAGAAGGGCTAGGGCAGTAGTTCTCAACCTTGGCTGCACATTAGAATCACCTGGGAATGTTTTTAAAATCCTGATTTCTGGGCCTCATCCTCTGGAAATTCTGTTTCTTTGTTATGGTGTGAGGCCACAACATTAGTAACAAAGAAACAGAATTTCCGGAGGATGAGGCCCAGAAATCAGGATTTTAAAAACATTCCCTGGTGATTCTAATGTGCGGCCGAGGTTGAGGGGAAGCAGGGGAAATTCCTTGGGCTAGGGGAAGCAGGCCTGATTATCCTTGTTAAGGAGTTGACCTTATTCCAAAGGGCAGCCACCAGTCTCCGGAAGCAGGGATGACGTGGTCAGCTTTGTGCCTCAAATAGGTCAGGCTGTCAAATAAAGAGGTATTAGAGCCCTGAAGGAAACCATAGCAAAAATAACTAAAAGAGTAAAATATTTTTGCCTCTGAGCTTAGAAGTTAGAAAAGGAAGATTGTTGCTTTTCATGATTGTCCCCTCTACCAGGAGATCAACCTGGGGGTGGGGCTGGCCAGCCAACCACGGGAAGGGAGGCCCAGGCCGGCAACAGGCAGATGGGGAGGGGAGGGGATAGGGAGGTCCCAGCCAGCAGCCGGCAGCCGCTAGGGACCCTACCCGTGCACAAATTTTGTGCGCTGGGCCTCTAGTATGGGTGTGTGTGTGTGTGTGTGTGTGTGTGTAGTGTTTTTTAAACCTTTTTTTAAAGGACTTTTTAATCTAAAAAAGACCCACACACAAAGGGAATATAAAGAAATAAGTCATAGAAAGGAAATTCATTTATCAATAACAGTGTAAATTCCAGAGCACAAATGCAGTGGTGATTCTGTTGAGGGTAGGGGGTGAGCTACTCAACATTCCTATGGTTTTCCTCCATCTCCTTCTGGCTCACTGTCAGAAAGGAGATGTGAGTCTGGTGAAGGGGAATTCAAAAGGATAGCCCAGCCCCTTTCTCTCTCCTCCTTAGGAGTGAGCCTGCCCACTGTGTTCCCAGATGGCTCCCAACAAGGGCTGGGGATTCAGAAGGCCCTGTGCTGGGAGCTGGGGGGGGGGGGGGGTCAAAGGTTTAAAAATCATATCCCTGTCCTTACAAAACTCACACTTTAGAAAGGGAACCAGAGAAGGAACATCTCGCTCAGTCTAGGAAAGGTTAAAGAAGGCTTCCTGGAGGAGGTGACCTCAAGTATGAATAAGGACTCTTGCCCTGGCTGGTTTGGTTCAGTGAATAGTGTGTTGGCCTGAGGACTGAAGGGTCCTGGGTTCGATTCCAGTTAGGGGCACATGCCTGGGTTGCAGGCTCGATCCCCAGTGGGAGATGTGCAGGAGGCAGCCAATCAATGATTCTCTCTCATCATTGATGTTTCTATCTCTCCCTCCCTCTCCCTTCCTCTCTGAATTAATAACGATAAAAAAAAGGATTCTTTTAAGAGGTAAATCAAGACAGAATGAGTTATCTTCCCATGTGCTCTGCTCACTTCTCAACACCATCAATAGACCAAGTTTTCAAAGAGTTTCCTTTGAATTGTGAGCTGTTTCCAGCATTTGGGATAGTGGTGTCTGACATTCTAATTCAAAAGTTATCTATCCCCCATATATAACCCAGAGAAATGAAGACTGCACAAAATATTAACAACATGAGTTACTTGTGGACAAGCAAGGGGAAAGCGAGGCAAAAAAAAAGACAGGGGGGGTCAGTGTGATGCTTGGGAAGACTGCAAGTAATTCAGCATTGCT